AATTGATAGAGTTATGAAAAGATTTCTTATTGATGACATGGATTATAGAAAAGATTATGTAGATTAAATTCATATCCAATATTTTCTTTAAGTTTTAAAGATTAATTTTTTGTATATGTAGTTTAAAAAATATTATATAATGTATTTTCTTTAAGTTTTAAAAGATTAATTTTTTGTATTTTTTTCAAGTTTTAAATTTGTCTGTTTCCATTTATATAGTATTTGGTTCTTCCCGGTAATTTTATTGCAGCTCCTAATTACTTATTAGCGAGCTCCTGATGTAAAAGGGTAGCAACAAATTAATAAATACAATGAAATCATTGTTATGCAGATATTGATTCATATGTTTCTGCATATCTTTATTTATTAACAACTGACCCACCCCACCCCACCCCCGCCTAATAATTACTGATGTGCCCTAAACATAGCTGCCATTTTGTCAGCTGTTTTTGTGAGAGTGGAACTTCATGAAATACCATATGGTGTGCATAAAACACAAACCATAGAAGGTCACCTATGTGAAGTGTTATCATAAAATTACATAAACAAGTACTGAAAAATAAAGTACTGTAAAATCTGTATTAGAGCATCTACACGTATGAGAAATGATGAATTTTTGGTTTTCAAATGTTTAAAAAAAATGGGTGCGACTTCTATTAGGAATGCGGCTTCTAATACAGATTTTACGGTACACAAACAAATTGAAAAATATTACCATAAGCTTGGTAACATATTGTTTGTCCTACAAGACTGACCATCAGTGTAGTGACCTTGTAAACATGTTGATGCAGTTTTTGTAAATAATTTGAAATACAAATAAAAAATGTTATTAATTTGTAACAGTACAGCGTGACCATAGAGTGCCTAAAAAAATATTGAATGCCATTACACTGTATAGATTTTTAATTTTGTTTTAATATCAAGATTCAGTGAAAATCACATAATTTTGTACCAGTTAAACTTCACTGGGTCCTAAAAGCATTATAGCCTCAACAACTTTTGCAAAAATTTCCCTTCACAATCATTATTAAATTATCTTTCTAACAGAAAATATTGAATGATTTACAATAATAATTCCAGCCCAAGTTTTGATGACAATTTTTTTCAGATTTTTCTGTATTTTTTCTATATTTATTCGTTCATTTTTCTATAATTTATTTAATTATATTCAAAAAAGTAAACATAATTTTCAATTGTCTTAATCAGAATTTGTTTATCTTTTGAATTGTAACAAAAGTTCATATCTGGTGCTCAAAGATCCAGTATATATTGTTTTAATTTCCATATTATTTTGGAGCATTTGTTTTTTTCCAGTAGTTATTGAGAACAGGAAGTCAGCGAGATTGATTGAACACTTGAAATACTTTTTGAATTTTTATGATATAAAAATGGATATAATATCCGGGAAAACAACTTTCCGGGGATGTATTAAGTTGTTGTTTTTTTCATCAAATTTCTTCGACATGCATCAATTACTAGTCTGTACTGGTTGTCAAAACAATTTCAATATAAATCTTTTTGTTTTATTATTCATTATGGGGATATGATTTGTTTTCCATCTGCACTTAAACAGTGTCATGTGAAAGTGGTTTCCATGACAACAATATTGTATTTCTTCCTGCAGTGTTTGCTTATTGGAGGAAATAAATACATACT